TAAAAAGTGTTGCATTCTTACTTTAACCTCCTATTAAACTCGTATTAATGACTTTGCGATAATCTCACAATTTAACGAGCCTTTAATTTTAGTTTTCCCCCAGGAAAACTATAACCAACATCCCTAGATTAACCATATGGGATTTTTTATTAACTTTTTTATTCAAAAGTTAAATTACTTTTGAAACCTTGGACTAGAGCTTCAAAATTACACTACTCTACTTATTTAACCACGTGGACGACACAAAAACACGAATAATAGCAATTCAACCTTTTAGTCAAAAGTTAAACTACGACTAAAACTGAAATCTTGAGACTTTGGACTAGAGCCTCAAAATTATATTAGCATTATATAGCTAATTAACCACACATACAAACGACACAAAAACACAAATTAACGAATCACAGTAGAAAACACGGCCAACTAGGAAACTTGAGTTAATCACTCACAAACATCATCCCTAGATCTGCCGTCTTCCCACTGCGATCCGGAGACAACATTAGTTCCTTATTTTATTCCCTATTCCGTTTCCTTATTATTCCTTAGTTATATCAAAACATTTTTTTTAAAACCTACTCCCTAAACTTTCTCTTTAACTTTAATTTTACTACAAATTTACTACAGGTCATGTTAACCCGATAATATACATACCTAACTCATGAAATTATATTGTTTAATAAACCTATCAATCTCAACTTATGAATGATTATATTTTATTCTCTATATAGTTAAATTTCAAATATTTAGTTTCTAATCAGATTTTAACTTTAAATTAATATTATTTGATCTGTAAACAAATTTAACACATTTAATTTACCAAACAAAATGTATTTACCCAATTTTTCGAATATCTTTACCAGATTTCTGTTTTCCACCCGAATTTTTCTGTTGCTGGATTGTACAGGTTTTCTTCTTAACGTCTTCAAATATGTATTCGTCTTCTAAAGTGACTTCTTACCCTAAAGGTCGAAACTGCGTTACGGCACCAAATCGAATATGTAGCACCATAGGTCTTTTGTCAGACGTGGATAGCGGGCGAGAAAACCGGTCACCACATCCTACATAAACCCATGCATCTTTTCTTACTACATATTTCTGTAGCCTTGTGATCGTCTAGAATTTGTCTTTAGCTGTCTTTACTTCTGCTGCACGTTGTGTATTTACTTCTTACAGTTTCTTAAGACGTTTGTCTTACCAGGAATAACAATGCAACAGTTTGCTTCTACATTTCATATATATATAGCTGAATACAGGTATACAAGCATAATAGATAACAATACTAGCTAAAACCATTTCTCTACCCTAGCCAGCCTCGCGGCTGTCTAAGAACTCAGATGATCCCTCTCTGGAATCTAATGGAAGTATGTCTTACAGGGTTCCACGGTTTCTTTTTAAAGGTATATGAATATCACTCACAATCAAGTGTGATCATGGCCCTGAACTTGTGTAATTAACGATAAGTCAAATGATGCAATTAGAATAATTCCACTCATGTGTAATTCTGGTGGTAAATTATTGAAACCTGTTTTGGTTTAAGAGCTCTTTTTATGTAACAATATGTCAATTACAGACTAAGTTAATTTAGTGCACACTATATATGTGATTATGTTTGAAATTACTAACTTGCCAAAGATATTAATTAATAAAATATAAAGGCATCTTATTTCTCTATTCCTTGTCTATAAATTTAAAAACAATGTCGCAACGACGATAGTGCTACACTTTTTCTGTCGCCAAGTTCTCCGTGGCGTCGGATAGTGGCTCCAATACCAGTACCAAATCCTCAATTAATTTCCAAAACGAGTCCTTTAAATCAAGGGCAATACGATCTCATATTTTTGTCGTCAAAAATTACAGAATACACGTGAATCCTTGATTTTAGAAGTCGCTCTAACATCATATATGTCGAATTCCAGCGTGTGGAAACGTCCTGAATTAGTTTAAGAGGGTGATCACCTTGGGCCTTGCGTAACACCTCTGTGGCTAAAACGGAATGATTAAAATGGCTACCTAGTTTCCGGGCCGCCCCTATGACTCTCGCAATAGCTTGAAGCTTTAACCCATCAGTAATTGCTAACTGCATAAGGTGAGCGAAACACCCAGTGTGGGCGAGACCAGATTCTCTTGCCGCCACCTTCATATTAGCGGCATTATCAGTGACTAATGAAATGACGCTTTTGATATTAAATTCATTTATCAAATCTTTGATAACTTTTTCTTGGTTTCTTCATTTATAGATTCGGTATGTTTACTTATTGTAGCCCTGCATGGCATTGGATAATCTGGATTTAGGGCAGTCGAATACTCTCAGAAACCTACACCTTCTACAATACTAACGGGCCGTACATCCCTAGCACACATCAATGCAAGCTTTTTATTTATATAATTAGTTCTTACAGGTAAGAGTTTTTTACTGGTGAAACACGAAATGCTAGGCTGTGTCGAAATATTAATCTTATCGCCATCCGTAATATTATTAGTACTGATATTTACTGATTTGTGGATATTTTTCAAATGATTCCTCATGGTTGACGTACCGCCAGAATATGCCAATAGCGTTCCACATAACGTGCATTTCATCTTCTTCTTACAGTCTTCTAATTTAAAATATTTCCAAACTGATAAACGATTTTCGTCTTTTGTGGTAGCCATTTTCTAAATTCTATGTTTATAAATAATGCCGTATTAAAAGCGTGTTTTTAAAATACTACGAATACTATAAAATTCTTATGTTTACCACACGTGGCTGAACACGTGACCCTGTCGAGCCAATGCAACGACTAACAGATTATACCATTTGGCCACGTGCGAGAGGGACAAAAGATACTTTGTTCACGGCCTAATTTTTCTACTACGTTTTCAAGCGGTGAATACGGGGAAAGTTTTGTATCAACGTGTAATATGAACAAGAGAGTGTGGGTTAATGCTGCCGTATTTACTAGTTGATATACACTGACATTTTTATATAGTACGAATAACGGTCAAGGGTGTATCGAACCGGTCAGCTTGCCGAACCGAACCGTAACCGGTTAACCGAGTAACCGTTTACATCCTTAGTATAAATTTAAAGTCAATCGGATATTAACTTTAGCCTCTAGAGCATCCATAATGTGGGCGTAAAAACTGTTAGTTAGGGAGCTAGGTTGTTTCGAAAATCGCGTACAAAATGTCTACTATGTTAAATGAGTGGGCAGTGATGTCCGATACTCTGAACCTTGATTCTTAAGTTGCGGCTCCCCTTCCCGTAGGGGTTGGGGATCCGACAAAACTTCGAATTTTCGAGTTTAATTCAACTTTTGCGTACAACAATCATTTTTCGTGCATAAGTCAACCAACTTCAGATGTCGCCAAAAACACTGCTTAAGAAGACCCCCGACCCTTCCTTCCTCCCTTAAGAACACCCCCTTTACCCCCCTGATAGAGGGGTTAATTCGACTTTTGCGTACAACGTTAATTTTTTCGTTAAAAGTTTCACTATTGATCCGCTAGAACATAACACTAACTTAAGAACGCGAAATCCCCTTCCATCCCGGATAAGAACAAAATGACGATTTAATTCGACTTTTGCGTACAACGATCAACTTTTGTGCATACGTCGACCAAAATCAGATATCATAAAAAACACTGCTTAAGAAGACCCACGACCCTTCCTTCATCCCTTAAGAACAGGGATGTCCGATATGTGCGAATATCGAAAGGAATCGAGATCTTTGGGTTATAAACTTACATTTCAAGTTTCATCAAAATCAGAAGAAAATTGTGACCTCTAGAGGGTCCACAACCTTGATATAGCATATTTCTACACTATTTGAGAACGAGGGACAGCCATTTTGTCTGTCAGTTTTGGGCCGATTTACACGAAATTCGAACTCAACCATCCTTAGGGTGATATACTAAAACGATTTTTTAAATCAGATAAAAATTATGACCTCTATAGGGTCCACGAGCCAAAAACGCCTATTTTTCGTACAATCAGGGGCCATAATTCAGTAAGTTACAATCTGATATGCCCGAATATTGAAAGGAACTGAGATCTTTGGGTTATTAACTTATATTTCAAGTTTCAACAAAATTGGATAAAAATTGTGACCTCGTACACCTACTCGAAAAGTTTTGACACTTGAAGAACGTGTCAAAGTGATACAGTTATCAAATGAAGGTAAAAGAACTTTTAGACGCTATGATGAAAGTAAAAGAAATATTGGTGGGCCAGAGATCCAGTATTACTAAACAAACATGTATACGCGACTACTTTGAATTCACAACTAGATAAAAAGTACATGTATTGTTATACTACATGAATAAAAAAATATATGCAATCTATATCTTTATTTTTTGTGGTAGGGGTTGGGGCAATATTGGATACCTCTAGTCAAAGAGCACCTCCATTAAGCAAACATTTTTAAATTTCCCTTGGGTGCTTGCTAAATACAAGTTTTACTGTATTTGCATATGAGGGGTGGCCATCATTAGGGTGATATGTTCAAACGGTTTTTTAAATCAGATAATAATTGTGACCTCTAGAGGGATGACAAGCTAAAAACGCGATTTTTCATACAATCAGGGGCCATAATTCAGGAAGTTACAATCCGATATGCGTAATATCAAAAGGAACCAAGATTTTTGGGTTATAAAAACATGCAGTTCAAGTTTCATCAAAATCAGAAAAAAATTGTGATCACTAAAGTCTCCTCAAGCTACAAGCATGATTTTCGTATAATCAGGGGCCATAATGCATGACGTTTCGATTCGATACATGCCAATATCAAAAAGAACCAAGATCTTTTGGAGATAAACCTATATTTCAAGTTTCGTCAAAATCGGATAAGAATTATGACCTGTAGAGTTTCCACAAACAAATCGTGGACGGACGGACGTCTGGATGGACAGGGCCGACAACAATATATGTCCACATTTTGTCCCTTTAAAGCCATGTTGTGAATAATTTAGTAAATTATTTGTGTTTTATGCTTTCATGTAGAGCTATAGTATATTTTTACCTTTAGTAGTTCTGATTTTAGGATCATAGATGACAAAATCAGGTCGAAGTTTACTTGCACGTTTTCCTTTTAATAGTGGCACTAATCCACCCAGATATTCCAGATACAGTGTATAATGTCCGCCTGATGTTTCATCTCCATGTCTGATCATAGTGCAAAACAATCTTTCATTACCAGGTGGTGTTGTGCTGACAAACTCACGTAATTTAAACGGATCTGGAATGTAACTCTTTAAAAAAAAACAAGCCAACAGTGAGGCTGATGTCCCCCGCCGAAATTCCAAAATAAATAGATGACACATATTAATTAATCACACATTAATTTTTTTCAAAAGTATCAAGCAATCAAACTGATTATCAACTATACACCAAGTTTCATCACTCTCTATCAGATAGAATCAAAGTTAACTGGCCCCAAAGCATCTACCAATAACATTGCTTAGCTCTGTTTAGTTTTAGCTTAAAATGTTAATCATTGAACTCAGTCAAGACATTTACCTAATGAACATCAACATCAAGTTTAAACATTCTACCTCAATTAAAGCAGAGTTGTTATGTTCCAAAGTCTTGACCAGGGCTCGAGAACTGGCGGAAAAATATCTTAAAATTCTAAGCGTATTTATCCTGGATTAACCATTATTGAGTGTCAATCACATGGCGGGATACTATAAATTAATCAACTGGCTGATAATCCGGATCAAGCAAATGAGTAATACTAATCAGTTGTTTTGGATTAATGATTAGTTGATTGATGATTATTGCCAATGATATATATTAAACCTTAGGTGTGCCCCCACTATGCCCACTTTTGAAAAATAAGGGATTAAGTCCAATTAATTCTTAATTGGATTAGTGTATTAAGCGGATTAGTATATTAAGCAGATTAGGATTAGTTGATAGTGGGCACTTGGAAGGAAAAAAAATATAGATATTACTGTATAAAGTTTTATTTTTATTTTTCTGTTTGATATATCATACATCACATTTTACAATTCAATAAAAATATAACATACCTATAATAATAGTTACAACAAGATAAATATGAATTGGTTAAAATTATAATTCTAATAGTAAAACATAAACAATCAAAAAAAATATCATAATAGTAAAACATAAACAGTAAAAAATCAAAAATCATTCATGTCATTTACAAAGCAGTTAAATGGGCTACGCAATCGGCATATTCAAATAAGGTCTTTATACCGCTTTGAAGATCAGTTTTCAGGGTTTGAAGTCGGGTTTCACGTTGCTGGTACTTCCTTCTCTTAGGCCGTAATTTGCCGTTGGCACCCAACTGTAGTATGGTGACCTCAGAGTACGCTTCCTCATTCTCCGGATGTGGTCTTGGTGTAGGAGTCTGGAAGCTGGATGTCGTTGTGGGTCTGAGGAAGTGCTGGAAGGATCTTTGCTAGGGCTCTATACAGGAAAGAACTGCAACTGTAGAGTGTTGGTACCTCACTAATCATCTCAGTTCAGTCAGGGTCAGATCGAAGGGCTGTACACAAAAAAAGAAAAAAGAAAAAAATATTTATTAATACTCGATAAGACGCTCGATTGATTTGTTTAGAAAACCAGCGGCTGCCAGGCAGGATACGCCCACATTTTTGAGAGATGGATAGAGAACAAGCTAAAAAGAAAGTGATTTTTCCTACAATCAAGGGCCATAATTCATGAAGTTACAATTCGATATGCGCAAATATCGAAAGGAACCAAGATCTTTGGGTTATAAACATGCATTTCAAGTTTCATCAAAATCTGATTAAAATTGTAACCTCTACAGGGTCCACAACCTTGATATACCATATTTTTACACCTTTCGCGTACAAGCGGCGGCCACTTTTTCCGGCAGTTTTGGTTTGATTTTCAGGAAATTTGAACTCAATCTTTATTATGGTGTGGTGTTACGGTGATATATTCAAACGATTTTTAAAATCAGATAATAACTGTGACCTTCAGAGGGACCACAAGCTAAAAGAGGCGATTTTTCGTATAATCAGGGACCATAATTCATGAAGTTACGATCCGATATGTGACAATATCGAACGGAACCAAGATCTATAGGTTATAAACATGCATTTCAAGTTTCATCAAAATCGAATTAAAATTGTGACCCATACAGGGTCCACAACCTTGACATATACCCTATTTTTACACTATTCGTGTACAAACGGCGGCCATTTTGTCTGGCAATTTTGGTCCGATTTTCCCCAAATACAAACTTAACCTTCCTTAGGGTGTAACAGTGATATAATAATACGTTTTTTTAAATCGGATAAAAATTATGACCTATACAAGGTCCACAAGCTAAAAACGCGATTTTTTGTATAATCAGGGGCCATAATTCAGGAAGTTACTATCCGATATGCGACAATATCGAAAGGAACCAAGATCTTTAGGTTATAAACATGCATTTCAAGTTTCATCAAAATCGAATTAAAATTGTGACCCATACAGGGTCCACAGCCTTGATTTACCATATTTTTACACTTCGCGTAGAAACGGCGGCCATTTTGTCCGGCAATTTTGGTCCGATTTTCACGAAATTCGAACTCTGCTGATATAATAATACAGTTTTTTAAATCAGATAAAAATTATGACCTCTATAGGGTCCACAAGCTAAAAACGCAATTTTTCGTACAATCAGGGGCCATAATTCAGGAAGTTACGGTCCAATATGCACGAATATCGAAAGGAACTGAGATCTTTGGGTTATAAACTTACATGTCAAGTTTCAACAAAATCGAATTAAAATTGTGACCCATACAAGTTCCACAACCTTGATTTACCATATTTTTACACTATTCGCGTACAAACGACGGCCATTTTGTCTGGCAATTTTGGTCCGATTTTCACGAAATTCGAAATCAACCTTCCTTAGGGTGTAACGGTGATATAATAATACGTTTTTTTAAATCAGATAAAAATTATGACCTCTATAGGGTCCACAAGATAAAAATGCGATTTTTCGTACAATCAGTCCGATATGCACGATTATCGAAAGGAACTGAGATCTTTGGGTTATAAACTTACATGTCAAGTTTCAACAAAATCGGATAAAAATTGTGACCTCTATAGGGTCCACAAGCTAAAAACGTGATTTTTCGTACAAACAGGGGCCATAATCAATGAAGTTTCGATCCGATACATGCCAATATCGAAAGCAGCCGAGATCTTTTGGGGATAAACATATATTTCAAGTTTCGTCAAAATCGGACAAGAATTGTGACCTGTAGAGAGTCCACAAACAAATTGTGGACGGACGGACATCCGGACGGACAGGGGCGACGACAATATACGTCCACATGAAAATGTGGGCGTATAAAAATGTTCATTATGCTTTAACACTCAAGATTACAGATTTACAAATGAATTCTAAATGCATTTAGATAAATACATACCTGATACTTCCTCTTGATAAATGGCAAAGACTGGTTTGGTTTCCTCTTGCACCTTGGTTTTCATGGCAGCAAGAAATTTGTCAACTGCCACCTTGTGTGGGTTAGCAGCATGGCTGTCGTTTCTGGAATATTTGGTGATGAGGCCATGATGGGTGTTCAGGGTTGCTGGACAACCTCGTATACAACATGTCCAGTATACCCGTTCTTCCTTCCTATTCTTCACACAGAATTTATATCCTCCATAGACTAAGTTTTCTCCTCCCGGAGAATTTGGGATGTACTGGATGTCTACTTGAACATTTGCCATGATGAAATATGGCAGAATGACTTCTGTGTGTCCTTATAAAGACAGTGTAATGTATGCTGAACATTATTCATATTATATTCAAGTGTAATCATGTTATCATAAAATTCATCAATTTAACGATTAGAGTGAGTTCATCTCGTCAATCATAAGACTGAATATTTAGTCACTTCCAGTTTACTTCTGCAAATGCAGGTGAACTGTAGTTCATATATCAGGAGATATGTGCTAGGTACTGACCACACTAATTAATCCCTTGTTAATCTCTCTATTGTTCCCTCATTAACACTTTTTAATCCCTCTATTGTTCCTCGCCTGAGTTAAACTTGTTTTTATTAGAAAAGTGGGCATAGTGGCATGTGACAAAACCTTATCTCAAGTCATTATTTACTCCTAATGATTAATTCAAGCGGTGATTATTTGATGTTTCGTTTCGTCTTAAAAAAATTGGTAAGAGAATTAAATATTTTGATAATTGAATTCGTTTACAGTGGCTTCATATACGGCATGTAAAAAATACAAGCATACAGATCAGATATCATTATTTCAAATTATATTATCACCACTGTGATATATTTTAATGACGGATATATTTCAAGCATCCCTTAACAAATATTATTGAAATTTATACCATTCTATCAGGGATTCAGATTTTGATAACTTTCCGGTACCTGAAAATAACAATAGGCCCACTGTGCACGCAACACATAAATTTATAGAAAATTGGCAACCCTTGGATGAGATTTGACGTGTAAATACAGAAAATATATTGTACAGTACGGTGTTCAAATAGACTAAAGTCACCAAAAATAAAATCTGATCTTATTAATCTATTATGTAAAGACAGATTTTTAAAGTTGTTGTATATTGTATTGTATCTATCGGTAATTGTTTGATAATAATCCTAGTTGAGTCGTAAAATTGTTATGTCTTGTCTTTTTTTATCACTCATTTTTGGCAGATAAAATGTTCCAGTTGGCGGAAAAAATATGAACATTTTATTTTATATAAAAATTATCATCCATTTTGGGGGAAAAAAATTGAAAGCCAGTGTGAGCCCTGGTCTTGACAAATCAAAATGCTTATCAATCCTTAGCCTAAGCAGAAAATTCTCATCATCAAACTTAGTCAAGGTAATGATATAATGAATCTATACTCACTTTCATCACTCTCACTTAAAGATACATTATGGGAGATTTTTATAGAGAGTTGGCCATTCTTGCTATAACAGTTCAAAAGTAGATGATGAAAGAAGAATATATTGAAAATTTCAGTCAAATTACTTTGTTCTGAACATAGTTATCATCGTTGTAATATTTGACTAGAAATGGTAGTGAAATGTGCCTTAACCATGGCCGATCGTTTGATTGACAGGCGTTAACTCCACCTACATATCTCGATTATCAAGTAAAGTTTTCAATGGCATGCGGAAATGCTCTACAGCGGCCTCGCTAAATACACTCTATCATTTAACCTCGATCTAATTGACGTATTCTCATCAGGTTGCGCCATATTTGATTTAATCAAT